AACCGAGTAATAATAATTTCGTTGGAATAGAAATTATCTCGCAAATATCGGTAGTCAAGTTCGTTAGACGGGCAATTTACTTTGTTATCCACCGCAAAAGACACGAGTCTTTATCCGTTTCTATCTCCTTCAACCGGAGAAATTCAATTTGTCTCTTTTGAAACAGTATCCGTTTATATCGTCCGCTTGGAAATATTTCAATTCCACGAATTATTATTTTTCTAAGAATAATTCTAAAAATTATATTGGATAAATTATTGGATAAAATATTGGATTCGATGAATAATTCCATTATCATTGAAAAAAAAAATCGTACTCATAAACGGTAAAAAAATGAAGGTTAAATATATATATTCTACACGTGTAGAAAGATACATGTATATATATATGTTAAGTAATCTCAGTGTAATATTTCTGGGTTCAAAATTCAGGACGACAGGCCAGCTTGAAACTATGCGAGCGTAGCATGGTAAACGGATCCTTTGTCTTTGATCATCCCGAGGATGCGCGCGATTAAACCCATATCTATGGATTATCAGAGGTAGCGTTAATTGCGCAGTTAACGTCACCCGTACACTCGACCATTGCGGTAACATTGATATGCCAATTCTGAATTAACCCTATACGAGACCTTTCTCTCTCCCTCTCTCTCTCTCTCACCTCTCAAATCTCAAGGAGGAGAAGCACGAAAGATCGAAGAAGACGATTCTCAATAATTCTCTCGTGATCGAAGTAAAGGAAAATCGAAACGATTGAACGAACGAACTGTTGAACGAATTACACGCGAGACTTACTTATTTACGGATAAGCTTTTAACTCGATATCTGGAAAAGAAAATAGATTGAAACATCGAGAGCAACAGGTTTCTCGTTTCCCTTTCAATTATAAGCGGTTCAAGGATCTCACCGTATGATCTCGAATTCGAGAATTCACCTCGATCGGTAAAATCGTATATACATGTAACAGTAGAAAAGTTTAATATATCGAGAAAGGACTCGAATAAATGACTGTTCGGAGGTAAAGGTAGCTTCGTTATTAACATTCTTTCGAGGATGGAAGAGAATAATACGAAGAGTTTGAACGGGTCTGAGGGTAACAGTTGGCATAATAACGACCAAAAAACTCCTCTCTGGATATTGTAAAAAAACGCGATTCACTGTCGTCGCTAGTGTGCCAAATAAATTTCCGACGGAATTGTATTTCTTTCCATTTCTTCGAAAGATGCGTGACTCTAATACGAATCTCTCCATTCTTATTCTTTCTTTGTTCGAAACTTTCTCCCCTATTCTCCAAAAAATTATTCCGCAAAAATATACATATCACATTGAATCGTGAATGGATACAGAGCGATGTTAAAAGTTATTTATCCCATCCCATATACGGTTGATTGCAATTAACTGATTAACCGGAAATGGAGATTAATTTCCGCAGCAAAAGCTGCGGTGGTTTTGATCGCGATTATATTTTTTTAAATCGCGGTCAATCGATCCGGAATTAATTATTAAATAAATATACAACGACGTATATAAATAAATATACAACGACAAAGGAAAGAGAGCAGGAGGAAGGAAAAGACTTTTTTCTTCTTCTTCTCGAAACGAGTTCAAGACAAGAACAGTTGTTCGTAGCGACTTGTGTTCGTTGTAAAATTGAGGGCAGGGTGAGAGGGGTAACGAGGCACATTTGTCATTCGCTCGACTCGGTCACGTGGAATTCTCTCGACTAATATTACCGCCGCTCGCTCGTTACGAATATTATATTCTTTCTTATTTATGTGCCATTTTATATTAAAATAAAAACGTTCTAAAGAACGACTATCGCGAGAATGGAGGGAGGGAGGGAGGGAGGAGGGGAAGGATTTTCGTTACTTACGTCTACCTCGTTCAACAATCGTTCCTTGTCGGCTGCCGGGATGGCCGTTGAGCAGTCTATCAACACCATCAGAACGACGAACAGAAACATGGCGATTCGTAACGACGACATATTTCGATCCTGCGTAACATAGAAAAAACAAACCAAATTTCGTCAATCCGGATTAATTAAATCGTTTTAATTGTTAACAAAAAAAATCGTATTATCGATTTTGAAAATATGAAAGATTGAAAAAAAAGATGCGACACGAGAAAAGCGAAAATATCCAAGTGAACGCCTCCGTCTCTCGATCGCACAAAATTACATATGTGTATATTCGCATTCTGGATATATCTATTCCCTGTTAACAACGTGCAACGATGCGCGCGTTTTTTTTTTTTCGATAATAACACGAGATAGCGTGATGGCACACGAGTAACGATCGCTCGTATCAGTTCGCTTCGCTGGGAAGCTCTAAAAGTATCCGGCGACGACTCGTACCGCGTTGATTACGTTCGAAAGAAAAATCGAACGATTGAAGCGACGTCGAAAGGCCATTGATACAGCGTGATACAGAAGGCGAGATTCTACTTTCTAGAAATCGATCGGATAAAAGCCGATGAATTTCAATAAAGCACGATTTTATTATTCGATTCGAAAGGGAGCAAAAGTTAATTTCTTGGTGGAATTTTTTGAAATGCTATTCCTCGCCTCGTGCGTTATTCCTTTTTTAACGGATTATCGACGATTGCTCGCGCGGACGGACACTTCTGAGACTATTGTCGAGAATGCAATCTCTCGTATTCGGTTACTGAAAATTTCTCATTTTCGAAAAGCAAATTTATCGTGTCTCGGTCGGATTGAAGAATTAATTTCTCTAAACGAATTAATGGAGAGTATATATATATATATATATATAATAATATATAATATATAATAATAATAATACACATGTATTTTAGAGAAGCAAATTAGGCGGATGAACGTTGACAACGTTGCATGCGGTTTTACGTATATCGTTGATGGACGGGATCGATCGGTTAATGGAATATTTTGATCAATGTCAAAATTGTTGGTTTTATTCGTTCGCGGTCGACACTTGGATTCTGCCGCGATGAATAACGGACAACCACTCTACCTGTCATTGACAGAACCATAATTCATCCAAGGAATTCTCTCGAGTGATACCATATCAATCCCCCTTCAATTTTTAAAATATCGCTATTCTCTATTTATTAATCAAACGAAAAATAGTTGGATTGATTTAACGAGCATGCATCGTTGTAAAACGAATAAAACGTAAAACAAAAAGTAGTATAATTATATAGGCGCTTTATATATATATATATATATCTTCAAAGACAATGCAAGACAATAGACGAGTAATTTGCACGGCTCCCTAGGCAACAGGTTTTCCTCTCCCTCGAAATGGACGCTCGCCTATATCTATACACTTATATATCCATCCCAAGCTGGCAAACACTTTTTTTTTTAACTCGATCGAACGAATTGTCATTGTCTCGTCTAAGCGAAACAATTTACGACATTTATTTATATAATTATATTCGAAACGTTATCATACTCGAGCCTACTTTTTCATCACCATTCAACGACATTCATAACGTAAACCAGTGAAATCGGGGATTTTTCGAGTAAAAATTACGAGCTCGAGTAAAAAGGCGATTATATGGTAAATTTAAAATTGGGAAGAAATCCAATCTATTCGCGAGTCTAACAGCTTAATAATTGTCCATTATCTTCGAAAATCGAAACTCGAAAGAATGGCGAAAGAGGGGGATAAAGAAGATAAAGAAGAAATATACCTGTTGTTCGGTAAATGGAGATCGGGGTTGCGTCGTTAGCTCGAGTGGTTGGTCCTTTTTTGGGCGAGCAAGGTGCTTGCGAGGATCGGTGCTTCAGCGACAGAGTGACTGAGCTTGCAAGCACGCGACCACTTTATATCCGAGACAGGGACTGGGTCGGTGGCGTTGTGGTGGTGGAAACGATGGGGGTGGAAAACCCGCATTCCCCCTTCCCTCTCCCCCCGCTCACAAGTCACTCTCTTTCCACGATCACGCGTTTCGTCCACCGCCGATATTAATATTTCCACGCTCTCGAATCAAAGCTTTCTTTTCTTCTCAAGCTCCTCCTCCTCCTCCTCCTCTCCCCTCCCTCCCTGCCCCCCATGGGACAACATCACTGAACCGCGGCGTATAAACGTCTAAAACCGGAACTCGAATCCGTTCGAATCAATCCCGAGAATCAAACGACGAGACCCACGAGACTCGAGCTCGCAACTAGGAAGGAAGCGACGAAGGAAGTCTCGTTGTTAACGCAATTTTATTATTGATAGCGAGCGAGAGATAAGGAATAAAAAAAATCGAATCGAGTGCACAAATTACGTGGTAATTTTCAATTCCACGTAAGGGGGATGAACGATATTTTTGAACCACCGTCCGGAGATCGTGTGCATTCTGACGGGCGAACAGAATTGCTGGACGAATTGCTGGACAATGCGGCGGCCGGGATAGAAATTGGCGGTGGGCAAGAGGCAGGAATGCTCATCCCCCGAGATATGCGAGGTCCGGCATGCTCCGCTCTCTTGCCACGTCCCTCCCTTCCCCCTCCCCACCGGTCACGTATCTATCACTCGACCGTGTTGCATTACACGTTTCTTCTCCACGATCTTCGTTTCGACGAATAGTAGCCGCTTCTCATCGATCGAATCAGGAAAGAATTCTTTGGAAATTGTTCTTGAACGCGCTTTCTCTTTGATTTAAAACTTTGACGATTTCAAAATTGATTGATAATAATTTGTAAAGAAGGAAACGCGATGAACGAATAAACAAATAATGGATAAAAGTTGATATTTTTACTTTTTCCGATTACCGGGTGATAAAAGAGTATACGATCGATAATCGGTGACCGATAAGAGATAGGCCATCAACATTGGAGAAAACGTGATCGTAACAACGATGATATGATAAAACGCGATAAAAGCTGCGGGCCATCATTCACCGACGGATCTTGTCGCTCGCTCTTCCAAACGCGTTCCTCTCAACTTTTTATTCCGCTCGCTGATATTTCGTTAAATAATCGCTATGTTGTAACCCAGTTGGGAACTGTTTCGTATGGATTCGTGTGTAAAAACGTTGGTCACGATCGTGAATCTTTATTTCCCCTTTGAGATTCTCAAACGACGGCCAAGCATTGGATCATAACGTTCCCGTTGGGCCACGAGATCTGCCAATATTGGTCAATAAAAAAAAAAAAAGAAAAAATAGAATTTGCATTAACACCTTATAAAAGAAGGAAATTTACGTGGAAGCGTGGGGAATTTCCTTGAAATTCTACGTAATTTAATAAAAAATCGCGTCATCGAGGAAAATATCATTTCGATACCACGAACGAGCGAATCGACAACGAGTCACGTTCAAATTCATTCGTAAAACGTAATTAATCAGGATTGCTAGAAATTTAGTTGGAGATTGATAAATTCGATCGTCTTAAATAACATCAATCATCGATAATTGAATTTCTCTTCTATTTTCTTTTATACATGCTTGTTAAACAAAAACGGAAGAGAAATTAACTGCAAAGTTGTTCAAAACAAAATATATATTTAAATATATATATATAATTAATATAAAAATAAGTGATTTTTTTTCTCCTATTCGCCTATTTTAAGCGTGAACGAAGGCAAATTTGGATAAGCTGATTACGTAAAGAACATGTAAGAGAGGATCGATGGATCGATGATTAATCGATTCGAACGAAATAATACAAATTCGAAAGCTACGAGAGAATTTATTTTACGTAACTTTTAACGAGCAATGCTTGGTCGTATCGTCGCTAATTAAGCATTTCTATAACTGAACTTTGAACGCGTTGTCTCATTTTTTTTCTTTCGATTCCGTATATACAATTCGAGTTTACAACACCATTAAGAAACACGCCTTAAAACGTTCATCCATCACAATTTTACATAGGAATTGGAATACACACGGCAGACGCGTTTCACCGTCTCGAAGCTTCTGTCACTCGTCAACTATGGATGGTATCTCTGATGTCAAGATGTGCGCGAACCTGTCGGTGTAAATTGTAAACACAATTCTCGCGTTATCTCGCCACGATCGAGCCCTTGAAACGAGACAATTCGGTATCGTAGCATCGACTCAGGCCGCAGTAGAACGTATCATTGTTTGGTCAGACCTTTCTCTCTTGCTCTATTCTATCGTTCGATCGTTTTACATTTCTTTACAAATATTAGACGAATACCACAAGACTACGAGTGTTAAAATTTGCGATTAAAAATATATTTTTTGTTTCTTTTTATTCGTTCTTTTATTTTTCTCGTTACGCAACGTTACGTACTAGCGATAGAAGTACGAAGAAAAAGTTCGAAGAAAAGAGTTACGCGATTCGATAATTAACCGAAGGCAATTAAAGAAAGATGTTAAAAAAGGTTGTCCACTTGTCGTAAACATTTTTATTTCCATTTTTCGACGCGAGTGGGCAAGACGTTCGAGTTTGAAGAAAGAAAGGAGAGAAAGAGAGAGAGAGAGAGACGATCTCGAATCGATCGCGAAAAATAGCAACTCTGAAATGATGGACCAACGTCGTTATCTGAACGAAATTGGATCTCTCTTTCCGTTTCTCCCACGATTTCCACGGAAAGGGATTTGTAACGAAGGGCGAATCGTTAAGACCCCTTTGAAAAACATTTCGATTTCTCGCTTTCGTGGTTCGAGACGAATTCGAACTTCCAAAATGGCCATCTCCTACTTTAGTTACGATAATTATTATTTTCGAGATCGAAACGAAACGAAATATTCGAAATAAACGTGTTAAATAATTTTCGCAATTGTGTCATCCGTACGAAACGTTTAATTAAATATTTTATTTTCCCTTTTAATTTTAAATAATTTAAAATATCGTTAAAGTTAGAATTTCGTTGCAATTCCCGTTCTCATAGAAGGAAGAAGAAAAAGAAAAAAAAAATTTCTAATAGAGTATGCTAGTAACGAAGGATTGGCTTATCGAAGTGGTCGAAAATCATGTCGGTAATTCCTAAGCAAAGAGCAAATCTTGAAAGGTATTTTCTTTATCGAAGTTGTAACTTATCCTGCAAGCTACGATTCTAAATCGTACTTTTTCCAACCTTTTATTCGCGGTCGATAAAATCAACAATTTTCTCCTTCTTTCTTCACGCTCTCGCTCCCCAACCCTCTTCAACTTTGTTTCTTCTTCTCTTTTTTTTCTCTCGTGTAATTCGAGACACCAACTCGAACAAATTTCTTCGTATTTTTATTTCATTTCACGCGGTATTAAAAAGTGGTGTTGAAACTTGTTGTCGATCCCTAGACTCTTTCTTATCTATAAATATTTTAACTTTACGAGAAGAAAAATACATGACGTGGGATCGTGACGGAGCGGAAAAAGTGATAAATGATTAAAATTAGAGAGGAAAGAAACATGCAGCAAGTTACGATTCTCGATTCTCGTAAATCGAAAGAAATATCTCGGTTACCGTGATGAGGAGAGAGGAGAGGGATCGCAACGGGTGGTTGAGTGGTATCAGAAAAACCTTTAGGCCGAGTTTCCATTACCCAGATCCGATCATTCTCTACTCTGATTGACTTTCGATGTCGCGGACGCTCGCGTTTCCTCCGATTTTTCAAACTTATTACAAAATTATTTTCATTCGTCGAAACTCGTACGATGCGTCATACTCTCGATCAAAAGTTCGAACTTCTCTCGCGAAAAATTACACGCGACGCGTGTAAAAATTCTACATGTCGATATTCGTTTTTCTTTTTCCTCTTTCAACGAAGCGAACGTCAACCGTAAAATCTATTCGATTGGATGTAACGGATGGAACGGTCCTCTCCCGCAGAGGAAAAAAGCGTTTTTGTCGTTTTCGTCGTTTTATAACCGCCATCACCGTGATGGTAAGTGACCCATTAGCGCACGAGTCGAGCTCGTTAAACTCCGTTTAACGCACACGCCAGTCATTTCTTAAATTCCCTTCTCGCGAATCGTCGCTCTCGCCACATGTATCTCTCCTCCTCCCTCTCCCCTTCTCTTCTTCACTAAGCTCCGGTTACCGAGTTTCTCTGTCGAGAATGAAGATTCAATTTCGTTGGGTCGCGAGCATTGGCCCGTTCGTCGACGGCCAATACGGAACGAGATTTTTCGCGCGTGTTGCGTATTGTGCAAAACGTATCGATGACAAACCACAAATCACGTTACGACCTATTATTTCAAAGCGAAGTTGCAAAGCTGTTGTCCGATTCCGCGACATACGAATCCAGATCGCATCTCTGTCATTAGCTAATTAATGGTGGAACGAGTTGAATCGGTGACAGAATCCACGCGATATTTCTTTCGAATCGATCGAAATTTTAAAAAAATTGGAAATTGGCTGTGATTTTTAATTCGATAACGAATTAAAAAAAAACTTTGCACAGCTCATGTGAATTCGCGGTTTTTATCAAACATTCAGAATCTGTAGGAAAAACGATAGAAAGAAAAGAAAAGAATATACACAAAAAGAGAAAGATATTTCCTTTCTCTTTCGAATATTCAACGATCCTCTTTTTTTCCTCTCTCGATACAATTCTATTTCTCGCATATATTCACGATACATTGCGATTATTCTTATAAATACATAGAAGAATCGGTCGCGAAAAGAAGAAAACTTTTGAAAAGAAAAATTAATTATTCCCGTAATATTGTAAGATCAAGTTGATCGGAAAATCAAAACTGATAGCGATTTCTGCCTCGATCAACCCGTCAATAGTTAATATCTCAAACTCGCTTCCGTTTATCGATTTGTCGAACGAATCGAAGCGAAGAAAGAGAAAAAAGAGTAGCGCGCATAGAGATAAAGAAAGAAAGAGGGGGGAAGGAAAGAGAGAGAAGAAAAATAAAAATGAAGCGAGAAAGTTGACATCGGTCACGTATCTGGCCACCAGAGCGTGTTAGTCGTTAATTATAATCGGCACGTGACACTGGAACTCGGTTAATTATACGGATCCGTTTCTTTCTCGTGAACCACCTGTCGCATTTGCGATTCTGCTCGAGCGGACACTCGTTTTTTCCCGTTTTTCCTTTTGCTAAATGGAATCGAAGACAAATGTCTCTCTCTCCCTCTCTCTCTTTCTGTTCAAACAAACGCTTTCAGTAAGCTTGTTTAATTCGATTCCATTGAAAACAGTAACGTACAGTAATCGATGAGGAGTATATATAAAAGAACAACAAAGGGCGAATTCTCTCATTAGGAAGAGCGGGGATTAAGATCGTGCCGATAAATTTTCCGACTTTGGAATCCAAGTTAATAATTCCCCGACCAATTTCCGACTTCCAAACTATTCTCTCACGAGATTCGTTCGAAGCCTCTGCGACGAATCTGCCAATCTCGTGCGTGTTCTTCCATTCCACTTTTCCGCGTAACTCAATTTTCGTATCTACGTTATTCTTCGTCGATCACTAACTTGGAAACTTTCGTTACACCTACTATACTATACACATATAGAACGCGTTTCGACGTCAAGCCTGCGCGAACTTGCCCACTCTCGATCTCCCGATTTTCCAATCCTAATCGTTGCAATGCTGTCTTCTTACATCTTATACATAGTATACATCCTCGATAAGATTTTTTCTTCTCGTCCACGCGTTTTTTCGTACGCGATCCATTGTTCCAGACTCGCGGAGGACGAGTGTTTTGCCAATTAGATTCGCGGCGGAGGAGGGCGAAATTTTCGGATATCACGGAATGGAAGAAAATAGGCGGTACGTGAGAATCGGAGGATAATGTGCGGTTTCGCGGATCGGATATATTCTCGAGCGCCTGCGTAACGTCAGCCACGCGTACACATATATATAGGAGGTTGCCGCTCGAGGCGTCACATTGCGTCCTCGAGTACGTCCTTCGTCTTCCTGGGACAAGCAACGCGCAGGATATCTTTCGATATATAATCGTCGCTCGATTATATCGCGACGCGCTCCTTTTTCAATTTTCATAAGAAGAATCGTGCCAGGACTCTTTCTCTTTCTCTCTCTCTCTCTTTCTCACACTCTCGTACTCGATCTTATTCGCGTTCACCGCGTTTATCGCGATCGCCGCGATTTCGATCCTCGATCCAACATCCTCCGCGCGAGAGGAAGAAAACAAATAAATCTTGGATTTCGGATGCGATAATTCGTTCCCGTAATTAAATAATCGTATATTTCTCGGGAGAGAAATGGGCAAAGTAGTGATTCCATGGCTGATGGTGGCGATAGTGCCCATGATCGCTGCAACCATCGAGCAGCGTGCTCTCAGCAAGAGGAACGCCCCGGCCAATCTCGATTATCCCGACTATTCGACCAAGTACGACGAATATCCGGTGAGTAACTAACATTCACCAATGCAACTTCTCGCTACTCACACGTACGCGTAACGTTTACCGAAAATATGCTAATTTTACGAACTCGTGGGACGTGCCTGGATTGGATATCGTTTCTTGATATTTCAATCATTGTATCTCGATTCCTTTTTTTTTTTTCTAAAAAAAAAAAATAT